AAGAATTGATTCCTGGAAGACGGGTCCCCGTGAGGGGGCCCATACTTGGGGTCCACGTCATGAAATGACGCCCTTTGCAGCAGAACAACCGTTTGACATGTTTGCAGTTACACCATGTGGGGCAACGATGGGGGCCCACGACAATCACACCTCGCCGTATCGCACAAACGACGTAGGAGAATAGCGGGAAGAGCATTGCAATGCAGATCATGGGCACCGTACACAGAGAAGGCGCCAAATGATCGACCAGCAGAGTATCCCCGCTCATCCGTTCCTCCTTTCCCCCACCCCTCCTCTCCTCAGCGACCGTGGCCGAAAGGAACTGATAGGCGACCTTCGCGAGGCGGCGGAGCAGTTCAAGGAGCCGCCATGTTCATCCTCCTCCTCCTGCTCCCCCTCCACTCCCCCTCCTCATCTCCTCTCCCCCGAGTCGCACTCTTCCCCCTCTCGCCTCCAGCAGACCAAGTCCACGCGCGCAGGATGTCCACCCTTCTTAACAGCCCATGCCCACGACCTGAGGTTCCAACCCCTTCTACGTAGGAGATCGTGCCAAAGCGCGCCACGCCCTCGTTGCTCCTAGTGTTACTGTTGCTGTCCTCGACGAACCCTGCTGCTTCTTAGGAGTGCCCCTCCTCCCTCTTCATCCTCCTCCTCCTCCTCCTCCTCCTTCCTCCTCCTCCGCCTCATTATCATCAGCAGCAGCATCGTCATCCTCTCTATGCTCGTCCTTCCTCCTTCTCCTCCTTCTGACTCCCTCCTCCGCCCTCCCTACTTCGCCCCCTCTCCTGGTCCTTCTTGGCCCTCCCCTCCTTCCTTCCTGCTGTCCCTCCTCCTCCGTCCCACATCCCCCTCCTGCGCAGATGCACAGCTTGCCAGAGGCATTCCGCAGTGCACGCACGAGCGAGCAGTGCGTAGTGCCACCAGCTGTGCTGCGAGAGGCGGAATCCCATGTCGGCTCCAGAAGCCCACGCCGCCCCGCCGACTCCCAGAGGGGAGCCGGCGCGCGGCCTCCGATGTCGTACGTGTGTCGCTGGCCGCGCCTCGTCGCGCCGCCTGCGTGCACAGTGGGAGCCCATGCCAAGAGGCAAAGCCCGCCCGCCTCCTGGGTGCCCTGGGTTTCTTGGGGGCTCGATGGTCTTGCGACTGAGAGCGTGGCGTTCCCACACCAGAGGCCAGTGGACGTCCCGGGGTCTCAGGGATGTGGGCTGCTTGTGGAAGGTGTCTGGTGGTCGAGCTCCTACTGTAGTTGCTGCTGATTCGCCCTCCTCCTTCTTCTCCTGTTTCTCCTCCTCCTCCACGTTGGTGGCGGGGCATCTTGGAGGCATTTCGGGGGCGGCTTCCGGGGAGCCCTGTGAAAGATTTGGGGGGCCTTCCAGGGGGCTGCTCTTGGGATCGTCCAGGGTCCCTCTTGAGGGCATGCTCCTCCTCCTCCTCCTCCTCCTCCTCCTCCTCCTCCTCCTCCTCCTCCTCCTCCTCCTCCTCCTTTCCTTTTCCTTCTAATAACTCCTCCCTGTCGCACCCCAAGGCTGGTCGAAAGGGCGGGCCGGGCGATTCGCCTACGATTTCCACGATGTCCCCACCACTCATGACCCTGAAGTTCAAAAAATGACAACACCTTCACAAATTCGATGGTGGGTGGTTCATAATGTGGCTCTCGCCTGAGCGCCGCGCGCATTCGTTTTAAAAATTTGCGAGAGCTTCACGGATTGAGTGCGGGCCGTTTGTAAAATATGGTTATCGCCTTTGCGCCGCGCGCATTCGATTTCGAGAATTAGCAAGAGTTTCACGGATTGAGGGCGACTCGTTTTCAAAATGTGGCTCTCGCCTTAGCGGCACGCACACTCATTACAAAGTTGCAGGGGTGTCGCGAATTCCCATAGTCAATGCACCAGAAATGACGTCATGGAAGGATCCAGGGTTGTGAGCGTGCAACAGTTACGTTGACTTGTTGTGTTGAAGTCCAAGGAGTGGCGTGCTGGCGCGATTCAGGATCGTCAAGACGCAACAATCAGGTTGATCCGTGGCGTTGGAGTCCCGAGAACTGGTGGTTTGGCATGCTTCAGGGTCTTCAAACGGTTGTCTCCCAACGAGGCAGTTCCCTCAGCGGTAATGAACCCTTGTAGGGGCCTATGAAGAGGGAGCTTGGAGGGAGGGTTTATTCCAACATCGGTGATGCGAGGCGTTTCGCCTGAGACCTCCCTACCATCTATGACCCGTGCCATCTTGTGGGAGAGGGATCCCAGGCCACCGGCGAATTCCTCCTCTTTTGGCCGCTCCTGACGGGCGTTTGTTGGCCGTCTTGGGGGCGTCTCGGGGCTCACTGGAGCCATATTGGGCCGGTCTTGCGGACCTCTCGGGCCGTCTTGGAAAGGCGGGAGTGCAAAATTTCTTCCGGATCCATTCGAAATGAATGATGTGTGCCCTTGGTGGCCAGTCTGGGATCCATCCTCTTTGAGCCCCCTTTGGGCGTCTGGGGGGCCTCTTCGGCCGTATTGAGGCCTGCTTGGGTATGCTCAATACTTCCCCGGCGTGGTGAAGTCCGTCCTGAGCCATCTTGCAAAGCATCTTCGCCATCTTAGGGGCCACGCAGGGTGCATTTGGAGGATCCGAGGGCCCCAAAAGGTGCGTTGGGGAGCCAGGCTCCCCAATCACCAACACCTCTTAATGGGATGTTGGACCCCCGTAGAGGGGAGAAGGGGTAGGGGGACACCCAAACATCTCACACGCCTCTTCACCAACGGGACGCGGGAATGCCGAGTCGGAGGTTCGGGGGGGTGAGACCGGAGTGAAACAGATGCCCCCAACGGGGCAAGCGAGGAGGAGGAGGTGGAGGAGGAGGAGGAGGAGGCGGAAGAAGAGGAGGAGGAGGAGGAAGAGGAGGAAGAGGAGGAGGAGGAGGAGGAGGAAGAAGAAGAGGAAGAGGAGGAGGAGGAGGAGGAGGAGGAGGAGGATCGGTTTCGGTTCGTGTCGTGCGTGACGTGCAGGCGAGGCGAGGCAGCGCGAGTTTTTTCGCCGAGCGGGGCACCAGTCACGCCAGAAGGAGTCGGCGTCCAGTTTCCGGGGCATGCGTGGGGGGTTGTCCCGCGAGTGTCCCGTGCTTGTCCCGTGGCGTACAGCCAACCCGCATAGTAACGATGGGCAAGTTTCCCAAGGGTACCCTTGCATCCTTGCCTCTTCGGCCCATCCGTGACCACTTTCGCTGGCCGCGCCCCGCTCGAAAAGCTTCGAAATGGCCCTCCAAGGCCTTTGCATCCTGATCGTGCGTCCTCACGATACGGGCTGACTGTACCCATGGTTGTCCCCTGGTTGTCTAGCGGTTTGTCCGTGGTTGTCTTGTGGCTGTCCCGCGGTTGCCCCTCAGTGGTCCACGTGGTTGTCCCGTGGCATGTTTGCGGTTGTCCCGCGCTGTTGTCGTGTGGTTGCTTCGCGCGATTGTCCCATGTTTGTCCCATGGCTGGCCCGTGGAAGTCCCATGTTTGTCCCGTGGTTGTCCCGAGGTTGTCCCGCGGTTTTCCCGCGGCTGTCTTGCAGCCGTCCCGTCACTGCATGGTGGTTGTTCTGCGGCTGTCCCACCTCCTAGAACGGAGGAACCGATCGATGAATAGTGCTTTCGATATCTAAAGTTGTTCGTCTGTTCGGCAGAAATATTATGAGACCGAGAGATCGTGAACCAGGTAGGCATGTTGTTAGTGGTTTTGGTAAGTATATACGAAGACCAGCTGATCTTGAGATCGACAGATTGGTTTCGAGCGATACCAGTCGATTGATAGCCCAATGCGTAGATAGTTAGATCGGTGTCCCGTGGTTGGCTTGTGCTTGTCCCATGGTTTTCCCGCGGCTGACCCGTAGCTGACCTTTGGTTGCCTTGCGGTTGTTGGGCGTGTGTCCCGAGATTGTCCCGTGGTTGTCCCGTGGTAGTCCCGTGATTGTCGGTGGCTGTCTCTTTGTCATGTGTTTGTCCCATGTTTGTCCCGCCGTGCGTCGGCATCTATGCCGTTTTCCGTGTGGCCAGCGGGATGTGCCCAGACCCGAGTGGAAGTTACCTAACAGCGAAGATTGATAGGTTTCTAGTGGGGTTAAAAGAGAGCATCATGACTCCTCAGGGGGTTCGGGGCGGGACAAGGGGCGGGACCCGGCGCGGCTGCCGTCGAAGCCATTCCTGGGCATGATTTTGAATGCCCGGAGCCAACTGTAGGCCACCTCGTGTTCTTCTAGTTCCCAGAACTCCATTCCTGGGCCACATTTTGAATGCTGAGGCAGGCTGATGCTGCGGCCGAGGCAGGCTGAGGCTGAGGCAGGCTGAGGCTGAGGCCGAGGCTGAAGGCAGACTGAGGCTGAGGCTGAAGCAGACTGAGGCTGAGGCTGAGGCAGGCTGAGGCAGGCTGAGGCTGAGGCTGAGGCTGATGCTGAGGCTGAGGCTGAGGCAGGCTGAGGCTGAGGCCGAGGCTGAAGGCAGACTGAGGCTGAGGCTGAAGCAGGCTGAGGCTGAGGCTGAGGCAGGCTGAGGCTGAGGCTGAGGCTGAGGCTGAGGCAGGCTGAGGCTGTGTGACTGCGACTGCCGTTGCCACTGCGAGTGTCATCGCGAATGCGACTACGACTGCGAGAACAGCAGAATTCTACAACTGGATTCTCATCTGAATCTGAAGGGGAATGCTTCCAGATATGCTCCTACACATCGCTGTTAGGTTGCTTTGCCGGGATATTTTTTTTGTTATGACCAAAGTTTTCAAACATGTTGCACGTCAGGCACCCATTTAGTAACCCGTGCGGGTTTGGATTTGAATGGTTGGTCCTTGCGCCGTTCCGCACCAGCTAACCTGTTCGGGTTTGGAGTTGGAAGGTTGGTCATTGCGTGGTTCCGCACCAGCGAACCCGTGTGGGTTTGGATTTGGATGGTTGGTCCTTGCGCCGGCGGACCTTGCGGGCGTCAGCCCATCCCGCCACCGTGCCTGGGTCGTACAGATGGCCCCCCGCGCTGCCCGCCGCGAAAACGCGCGCCCGTGCCTCGCCCCGCGGCCCTGGCGTGAATGGGCTCTGGCGGCGGCAGGCGGGGGACCTTGCGGGCCACGAGCCGGTGACCGAGCCAGAGCCAGGCCTCGGCGCCACCAGTGGCGTCTCACCTCGTCGCGGGGGGGGGGGGGGGGAAGAGCCGCGGGCTGGGCGGCCCGCCGGGTCGGGCGAGTTCCTCCCCGCCGGCGCAAGCTTGCCCAGCCAGTTCAAGATGTCGTTCCTGATCTTCGAGGGGGACGAGGCGTGGCGGAACAGGCTCATCCCTGGCCAGACCATCGGAGTACAGTATCGCGATGGCCACGACCACGAATGGCTCATCATCCACCCAGTGGCCCACAACCCATCATTTTGGCGGGTGGTGGATCCAGACCTGGAAGAATCTTCTGAGGCCGTGGCGAGGGGGGGGATTCTGACATCGTCAAGACGCACCTTCTGCCCAATGACGGGTCCAAGCCGCCACGGTTGAAGCGCAGGTTGCATCGCCTCCGAACAGATCCTCACCGTGGAGAGAGTTTGTGGACCTCTTGAAGCGAGGTGGCCGCAACGCCGTCACCGAGGGCGGTGGTGCTCCCCCCCCTGTCTGCGACGTGATGCTGCCGAGTGGGGAGGTGCTGCCCATCGGATACGTGATCCCTGGCTGGCCGGGCCCGATTCGGCGGGCCAAGGGCAAGAAGGCCCTCGCCGATGCGGAGGCTCCCTCCGGGCGAGCCACGGCCGCTGCGGCAAGCGGTCATCGTGCCCAGTCGCCTCTGCCGCCGCCGGCAGAGCCGCCTCTTAACCCGCTGGGCGAGGGCTTGGACTGGGTGGCGATGGGATGCGGCGAGACCCTCCTCATCCTCCTCCTCCTCCTCTTCCTCCTCCTCCCCCTCCTCCTCTTCCTCCTCCTCCTCCTCCTCCTCTTCCTCCTCCTCCTCCTCCACTTCCTCCTCCTCCTCCTCCTCCTCATCCTGCTCTTCCTCCTAGTCCTCCTCCCCGGGCGACGTAGTGGACCCTCGCAAGCGGAAGCACGTCCGAGCCCGCGTTTGCGATATGGTGTGTGTGTGTGTTGGGCGGCGCGGCGCACGCGCATTGCTGGCCTGCCCAGACTGGGGCGACCCCCGCGCCTTTCGAGAAGGAGCGAGCCCAGTGGTGCCCCCCCCCCCGCGCCTCGCGGAGAGAAGCCACGGCAGTCCTGAGGCACGGCGGCCGCCAACGAGCTTGGCCGCTCCCCGCCGAACGATGGCGCTTTTCATTCCGCACTCGGCCCGTCGGGCGGCGGGCTACGCGGGCCCCGGGGGCTCGCGGCGGACAGCGCCAAGGATTCGAAGAAGACCGACCCCGCCACAGGACATTCGCACGCTCTGGGTAGACTATGGCAATCGGGGGGAGCGGCTCAAGCCCTGGAGGGAGGTCGTCCGAAAGAGCACCCATGAGTCGTTCCCCGACAGCCAGTCGGAGGGTCCAGGGATGTTGCTCTTCGTAAAGAAGCACTGGGACAGGCGCGGCGGCGACCCCCCGCAGTGCTTGCTCTTGCGGCTCCGCGAAAAGAAAACAGGATGGCACCGACCGCACCTGCCACGAGGTAAAAGCACTGCACGACGCCATCTACTTCGCAGGAGCGCACGAGCAGCTCAACATGGTCGCCCGGGTCTGCCTGGAGATCCTGAGCCGGCGCATCCGGACGACCATCGACGCGCGCCAGCACCCCCAAAAGGGGTCGCGGGAGCTCCCCGACTGCACGCAGGAAGAGTCACCGAGCGCGGTCCACTGCTCGCAAAAGTGCCTACCCGCAAACGCCGGGGAAAGGAAAAACAAAGAAGTGCCTTCCTTGATGTCAAGGATCGTGATTCTCCCGCGGCGCATCCGGGCCGTCTGCGAGCAGTTCCTCTGCGAGCAGCGGAGCGCGCTTGTCCAAGCAGGGCACGCCCGACCACCCCGCGAGCCCCGCGCGGCAGGATCCGCGCGCCGCCCAGGCGCGCGCCGCCCAGCAGCCGCGCCGGCAGGGAGCCTCGGCGGCTCGACCCGGGCGGCTCGAGACGCACAGGAGGAGCAGGAGGAGCAGGAGGAGCAGCAGCAGGAGGAGGAGGAGCAGCAGCAGATGGGGAGGAGCAGCAGCAGGAGGAGGAGGAGGAGGAGGAGGAGGAGGCAGCCTGCTCGGCCCCGTGGGGCGGCGCGGGAGGCGACGGCGGCTCTCGCGGGGGCGGCGAGGGCGGCGGCGAGGGCGGAGGCGAGGGCGGCGGCGGAGGCCGCCGCGGGCTCGGCCTCGCTGCCGCCGGCGGTAGGAGTGAGCGAGCAGCCCCGCCGAGAGGGCCCTCCTCCTCCTCCTCCTCCTCCTCCTCCTCCTCCTCCTCCTCCTCCTCCTCCTCCTCCTCCTCCTCCTCCTCCTCCTCCTCGTCCTCCTCGTCCTCCTCGGCCCCGTGCTCTCGCCAGGTGCTCCGCGGGGGCGCCGAGGCGACGGCGGCCCGCCCCCAAGTGGACGGACCTCGCTGGAGTACCTTTGTCCCGCCACCAGCGCCGAGGGCGGCTCGCCTGTCAGCGCCCGGCGTCCCCCGCCGGGCCCTGGCACCTCGACGCCGTCGGCACAGAAGGCACGGGGGCGGCAGACGCGTCGTGTTTAAGTCGGGCATGCCCCTCTACAGGGGGGATATGCAAAAATAGTCAAAAAAAAATAGGCTGGGTACTATGTTTCGGCTATGTTTTGACTATTCTTGAATAGTTGTTATGGTCCAAAATCCGCCTGTAGGGGGACATGCCCGACCTAAGCGTCGTGCTCGCATGGTACAGGAGGCCGTCCACGGACTGAGCCGGTCGGTCTCTTGGACCCCGATGTCTCTCTTCGCTTGGAGGCTCAGCAGGAGCGAATGCCACGACCTGGGACCGATTTCGATGCAAGAGAGGTCGGGGCCCGACAGATCACACCGCACGCTGACAGGAAGCTGCTCCGCAATCAGAAGAAGTACCACGCCTGCGCGAAGCGGCTCTGGAAGCTGGCCATGCTTGGCGCCACCCTTCGGCCTCGCGAAAGGATCAGCATCTTCTTCGCATGGAAGAGCAATTAGACCAAGAGGCTTGCCGTCGATGCGAGGCGGAGCAGGTGCTGGTTCCGACCCTCCACCCCCCCTTTGGAGCCGGACTCTGCACCTCCGAGGCCTTCCCGAGCATGGAGGCGGGGGGGCGCACTCGTCGTCCAGAGGGAGCCCCCCCGCCTGCATCTGGGGACGGCCGGACGTGCAGGGCTGCCCCCCTCGCCTGCGGCCCCCCTCGCCGCGCAGCTGCTCCGCGCGGCCCCGAGGTGCCGGCGAGGCCGCTGGGTCTCGCGCGGCCGCAGGGGGGGGGGCCCTCCAGCCGACCGGCGCAGCTCGGCCCGCGTCGGCGCCCATGCGCACGGGCGTCGCGCCTTCGCTCTTCTTCGCCCAGAGGGCCGGCGAGCGCCCGGCCGCGAGGGCGCCCTGGCGGGGCGGATCGCAGCTCCTGCACGGCCCGCCCCCTCGCGCTCGCGGAGGCGCAGCCCCGCCAGTGCGCGTGGACAGCCCCGGGGGGCCTCCTCCCGAGCCTGCAGGGGCGGCGCGGGAGGCGGCGCGGCCCGAGCGCGGGAGAGCGGCTTCCGCCGGCGGGGGCCCGAGCTCCACGGCGGGGGAGGCGCAGTGCGAGGACCTCTGCGCCACGGGCGGGCTGCAGGCCGAGGGCCTCGCCGAGGGAGGCCCAAGTCCCAGAATGGGGCCAGGCCCGGGGCCCGCACAGGCCAGCCGGGCTTCCGCCCGGAAGGCAACAACGGAGCACCCGCACCCAGAGGTGCGCCCCGAGTCCAGGGGAGCCCTCTGGGATTCGGCGATCGGGCCTCAGGGCCACTTTGATCCGCAGCTCGGGCTCCACCCTGGCCAGTTCGAGCTGGATGCGGCCGTGGCGGCGAGAACCCCCAGAAGCACCCACAGCACTTCCGAAACGACGACGACGACGACGAAGACGTACAGTGAGCAGCTTGAATAAGGAACACTTATTTTTCAAAAGGGGCTCGGTCGTTCCTTAGGCTTCCATGCGTTATTTACAGCTCCTCTATGCGTTATTTGTTAGTTATCGTTCCTTATGCGTTATTCCTTGGGATAGGAAGGGGCTTCGTTCCTTATTTATCGTTCCTTAGGTCAAGCCGATGACTGTGGACAGCGGCGGCGGCGGCGACGGAGGCAGCAGCGTGGGGCCGCCATTAGGAGACCCTGACCGCGCAGAGCGGCCCCGGCGCGGAGCCCATGTGGGAGGCCGCGCGCGGCAGGGCGTCGTCGTTTTCGTCGTCGCCGATGGCAGCGGCGGGGTGGATTTCGGTTCGGCCGACGCGTTGTGTCGTGCTCGGCTAGGTTCCGCTGTGCTGCTTTATGCCGTCGTCTGTTATGGCATGTTCTGGTATGGTACGCTACGTGATGCTATGGTATGCTCTACGTTGTCGTGGCGTTGCTGTGTGATGCTATGGCATGGTCTGCCATGCTCTTGTTCTGGCATGCCATGTTATGGTGTGTCAGGCTGTGGATCGTCGTGGTCGTCGTCGCTATGCTCTGCTGTCGTGTCATGAAATGTTATGTGATGATGTGCCATGATTTGGTTTGTTATGTCAAGGTGTGTTAAGTATGATACGCCTGGTATTGTTATGATATGTTGTGTTATGCCGTCTTGTGTTATGTCATGTTAGTCGATGTTATGTTATGTGATGATATGGTACGCCCTACTGTGGCATCATATTGATATGTTATGGCATGTTATGTCATGCTCTGTTCCGTCATGTCATGTCATGTCATGTTGTGTTCTGTCGGGTTCGTCGAGGGCGCAAGGCGGGACAGCCAGCATTCTCGGGAATCATCGGGACAATCTGGGGTCTGGCGGCCGCGGTATGCAGGGCAGGGTTGGACGGGCGCGAGGCGGGACACCTGGGATTCTCGGGACAAATTGGGGTCTGGCGGCCGCGGTATGCAGGGCAGGGTTGGCCGGGCGCGAGGTAGGCCACCCGGGATACTCGGGATTCTCGGGACAATTTGGGGTCTGGCGGCCGCGGTATGCAGGATGGAGTTGGCCGGGGGGCCTGCTCTTGAAATCTAGCAACCCTAACCTGTCGGGTGCGGGGGGGGGAGGGGGGGGAAATCTGGGGACGATGTTTTACTATTATTGGCTATTTTCAAGTATGTGTTGACTATTCTTGATGTTTCACCCAAAATCCACCTGTAGGAGGACATGCCCGACCGAACCCTACGGTGACACGTAGGGGTATAAACTTTGCAGCCGCCCAGGGGGCAGGCGTCCCCGACGGCGGAAAAGTTTCTCTCAGACCGTTCTTCGCACCCTGGGGATCTGGGATGGCCCATCAGGACCGATGTTGCCCGGATTTTGGTCGCAAGGAAGGGGAAATCGGGCGGACGGCACCGGGGAAGAAGCAGGCGGGATAAACAAACGGGGGTGAAGAGCCGCACCTGTCCAACACCTTCTCGGTGCGGGGTGGCAGTTGTTCACACATGGCCCATGTAGTCCCAATTGTTCCGCAATCCTCGAACACCCCCAGCCTATTGTCCCCCGCTAACATATCCCCGAGAGTCCTTATCCCTCGCCTCCTACTCATCGTTCTCCTCATTCATCCCTCTCCTCTCTCCTCCCTCCAGTAGGTCCTCCAAGAAGCTTCAACATCACACCCTGTCTTCCCTTCTCCTCCTCCTCCTCCTCCTTCTCCTCCTCGCTTTCCTTCATCCTCCTCCCCCATGTCCTCCTCATCGTCCTCGTCATCATCATCAGCAGCAGCATCAGCATCATCATCAGCATCATCAGCAGCAGCATCGTCATCGTCATCATCAGCAGCAGCATCATCATAGTCATCAGCATCGCCATCAACATAAGCATACTCATCAACATCATCATCAGCAGCAGCAGCATCATCATCGTTATCAGCATCATCACCATCATCATCATCATCATCATCATCATCATCATCATCATCATCATCATCATCATCATTATCATCATCATCATCATCATCACCATCACCATCAGCAGCAGCATCAGCATCAGCATCAGCACCATCATCAGCATCAGCATCATCATCAGCATCATCATCATCAGCATAATCATCCATGCGCCCTTCTCCCTGATCTCTCCTTCTTCCCCCCCTCCCCCCTCCGAGACCTCCGAAACCTTCAGATGTATTCAGAGGTCCTCAGGCGTGCTCGGAGGACTCTGGAGGCCAAACAGATATTGCCCAAAGCGCCCCAAATCGCACGGTCCTCGATCCTCTGTGGGCGTGGGTCAAACTTCTGGGCTTGGCAGCCTCCGGTTTGGGGATGCCTCTGCCCGACGGGTCTTCGTCCTGGCCACGTTGGCGGCCCGAGCCGCCACGCCAGCGTCGTTGGCGTTCGGCGTCGTCGTCGGCGGTCGAGTCGGCGGCGTGGCTGTTTGCAGCGTGCGTCTTCGTCGCGCTTGGGGTGTTCCCTGCGCGCGCGGAGAAGCCGGCGATGACGGGGGGGATTGCGGTGGCGTGAGAGGCGTAGTTTCGCGCGGAAGGTTTCGGGCACTCCTGGGGTGGAGGGGGAGCGGGAGTGGTGGGGAAGAGGAGGGGCAAGGGAGGCGAAGGTCAGGGCGAGGGGGAGGGATAGAGGAGGGGGAGATCCAGACCTCCGACCAGATGATGTCTTCACAATGTGCGGCCCCAGAGGCCCCAAGACCCCTTCTCCGTCCAGGGGCAGTGCTCCGCCCCAGAGTCGTGGTTTTGATGGCTCTGCAGGGCCCGATACAGCATCGGCAGCGGCGCCGGTGCTCCGGGAGAGGAGGGGAGAGAGAGGGGGGGGGGACGAGGAGGGGGAGGGGGACGAGGAGGGGGGGGAGGGGGAGAAGAGGGGACGGGGGCCAGAAGTAGGGGGGGGGAAGAAGAGGGGGAGGGACGAGGAAGAGAAGGGGGAGGCCCAGGCATTCGACGATGTGATTTGTTCAGTGTGCGGCTTCAGGGGCCCCGACCCCAGAGCCAGTGCGTTTCGTCCCAGGCCCATTTCTGATGGCCCCGTGGCGCTCGATGTAGTGGACTGGGCCCAAAACCAAAGAAAAACACATGGATCTGAAAAATAATACCGCCAGAGATCGGGGAGGAAGGGAGCGAGGGACCAGGGATGTGGTAAGTGTTGCTCCTGCCCCCGACCCTGACCCCCAGAGGTCCCCCGACTCCGCGGATGCATCCCCAGGTCGGTCGGCTACGCGTAATGCGTGACCCTTCGCCGGAGGGACCTCTGGTGCGAGCTCACAGGGGCCCACCCCTCCATCACCGCCTCTTCGCGCTTGGGTCTGGCCTGCCCGCGGCCCCCGGAGCCGCGCACCAAAAAACAGATGCCAGCCTTGCCTATAGGGCCACTCCTGGCGCGCAGCCGAGCGTGGCAAGTTGCGCTCCCGCCCCGGGCCCGGGCCCTCCGCGGAGGGAGGAGGAGGAGGAGGAGGAGGAGGAGGAGGAGGAGGAGGTAGGAGGAGGAGAGGAGGAGGAGAGGAGGAGGGAGGAGGAAGGAGGAGGAGGAGGAGGAGTGAGGAGGAGGAGGAGGAGGGAGGAGGAGGAGGGTTGGATACAACGCTCGATTCAAAACGAGAGCGCAGCACAGAAGGGTTGGGAACAATCAAAGCATCACCCCCAGGCCTCAGGCCTGGGAGGGCCAAGAGCGTGCGAGAGCCCTCCCCCTCTGCCCCGAACCCCCCTCGCCGGTCGAGGGCAGAGCCTGGGAGGGTGTCTGCGCTTGCTTGCCCACTGGCCCCGCGAAGGCCTCGTGTTCTGTCCCTTTTCCCCCGACCTCTCCTGGTGTCCTTCCTCCCGTTCTGTACCTCGTGCCCCCCCTCATCCTTTGGGAGGAGGGGGAGGAGGGGGAGGAGGAGGGGAGGAGGAGGAGGAGGGGAGGAGGAGGAGCAGGAGCAGGAGGGGGGAGGAGGAGGAGGAGGAGACATCGTCGGAGAGAAGGAGGAGGAAACGGAGGAGGATGAGAAGGAGGAGGAGGAGGAGAAGGAGGAGGAGGAGCAGGACTACAAGACGATGCGTTCCCGTAGGGGTGGAAGGTTCCCGGGTGGTTGCACCGTCTGCGATAAGCAATTTCTGTGGGCCGAACGGCCGGCAGCAGGTCTCGGTGGAGCAGGAGGAGCAGGCGAGGTGGAGCAGGAGGAAGAGGAGGGTTTGAGCCTGACGGCCAGCAACAGGAGCAGAAGCAGGAGGAAGCAGGAGGGAGCAGGAGGGAGCAGGAGGAGGAGGAGGAGGAGGAGGAGGGAGCAGGAGGAGGAGGAGGAGGAGGAGGAGGGAGAGGACCAGCGTAAACCCAAGACTCATCAACGATGTTGAGAGTACACCCTCCTTCCAAGTTGCCTCTTCATAGGCCCCTAGAAGGGTTCATTTCCACTGATGGAAGTGCCCCGTTGGGAGACAGCCGTTCGAAAATCGTGCAGCGTGCCAAAACACCGTTCTCGTGACGTCAACGCCACGAATCAACTTGCCTGTTGCGTCTTGGCGATCCTGAATCGCACCAGAGCGCCGTTTCTAGGATTTCAAAACCGCGAATCAACGCAACTGTGGCGCCGCGACAATCCTGACTCGTTCGAAACCACCACTTCTGGTGCGCTGACCATGGGAATCCGTGCAACTCTTGCAAGTGTGTTAGACGAATTTGCGCAGCGCTAAGACGAGAGTCACATTATGAAAACAACGCCCTAAAAATGTGAAACCATTGCGATGTTTAAGACGAGTGTGCGCGACTCTGAGGCGAGAGCCACAGTTTGAAAACGACCCGCCCTTAATCCGCGAAACTCTTTGCATTTGTAAAGACGAATGCGCGCGTCGCTAAGACTAGAGCCACATTTTGAAAACCACCCGCCCTTGATCCGTTGAATGATTGCAGATGTTTCGAACGAGTGCGCGCGGCGCCAAGGCGAGAGCCACATGTTGAAAACGGCCCACCCTAAAGGGGTTAAGCTCCTGCTTTCCTTTAAGCTTGCGGGACGCTAATGCGAGAGCCACATTTTGAAATCCGCCCGCCCTCCATGCGCGAAATTGCTGCCACATTTAAGCTTCCAAATCATGAATGGTAAGGAAGTCTCAGGCGAAAAGCCTGGCCCGCCCTTCGACTAGCCTCGGGGTGCGACAGGGAAGAGTTACTCAGAAGGAAGGAACGGAAGAAAATGAGGAGGAGGAGGCAGAAGGATGTTCGAGGGGGGAGTAGAGGGAGGAGAAGGGGGAATAGGAGCAAAAGCAGGAGGCAGCAGAAGCAGGGAGGAGGAGGAGGGCGAAAAGGAGGAGGAAGAGGAGGAGGAGGAGGAGGAAGAGGAGGAGGAGAGGGGAGGAGGGAGGAGGGAGGAGGATGGAAGAGGAGGAGGAGGAGAAGGATGGAGGAGGAGGAGGAGGAGGAGGAGGAGCAGGAGGAGGGGGAGCAGAAGGAGGAGGACGAGGGATGATGAGGAGGAGGAGGAAAAATTGAGGAGGAGGAGGAGGAGGACGCCCCTGCCCTTCCAACCCCGCCCAGGCCGCGCCGGCGGCCGGGGCCGCCGCGCCTCCTGCGCCCTGTGGCGGCTCGGCGCCGCCGTGCGGCGGCGCGGCGGCCCTGGCGCGGGGCGGCGGCCCCGCGCCGGAGCCTCGGCGGTGCGAAGGAGGGGCCCTGTGGACAGCAGGTTCTGAAGACAACAGTTGTTGAAGTCGGAGAAGAAAATTATCCCAGTGCGACCCTACCTAGGAGTTGGAGCCCCTAGGAAAGCAGCATTAGTAGTAACAGTAAAGCTCAGCTAAAGCTAAGCTACAGCTATGCTAAAGCTAAGTTAAAGCTAAGCTAAAGCTAAGATACAGCTAAGCTACAGCTAGACTAAAGCTAAGCTGAAGCTAAACTAAAGTTAAGCTAAAGCTAAGCTAAAGTTAAGCTAAAGCTAAAGCTAAAGCTACAGCTCCCAGGATCCTGGGGGAACCGCGGGGCGGATGCCGGGGGAACCGCCTGGGGCGTGGTCCACTGCCCGGCCCTTTAAGCTTATACAGTAAGAACCCTTCTAGGCAGAGCCTAGGTAGAGATAAATCTCAATAAGCATAAGCTTTCGACGCTCCGCGCGGATTTCTTGGAGCCGCGCTGGCCCCCCACCCACCCACCCGCGGCGCCTCCTGCGCCGCCCCTGGCGCGCTCCGCGCGCCAGGACACGGGAGTCCAGCGCAGATCCCGCGCGGAGCGCCAAGAGCTTATGCTTACTGTGTTTTTTTCGATGAAGACAGCAGCTTCTGAAGGTGGAAACTGTGCCCGCTGAGTGCAAGATTTTCCCCTTCAGAGAACTTGTTTGCCCACGGAAGGCAAACTGTATGCTGTTTTCCGTTGAAGCCCACTGAATGCAAACAAGTGCATTATGTGAGATTGGTCTACTGGAAAAATTGGTTGTCCCCAGTGAAAACTGCACTCACTGAGTAAACAATGTGTGCCTTCAGCACGTGGCTTGCCCTCAGGGGGGCCAAGGATCCAGGCCTCCGAGATGGGGCCCCTCCATCCATCCATCCTCCCTCCTCCCCCCCCTTTCTCCTTCTGCAGCTACTCCACGTGAATGCCACTCCTCTCTCCACCGTCCTCGTGCTGAAGTGTCCCGCCCTCTCCGTGCATTTCCAGACGCAGAATTCCACAAGTTCCCCCAGGAGTGCTTGCACGTAGGGATTCTTATTCTACTTTCCTGAACTGGGCCTGGCTGTCGGCGCGGCCGGCATGCAGCCGCCTCGTCGCCGCCTCGTCGCCGCCCGTCCCTTGGGCTTGGTTGTGGGTCTGGCCGCCCCGTCGCCGCCCGTCGCGTCGCCGCCTCGTCGCCGCCTCGTCGCCGCCCGTCGCCTGGGCCGGGTTGTCGGTCAGGCCGCCCCGTCGCCGCTTGATCGCCGCCTGATCGCCGCCTCGTCACTGCCCCCCGCTGCCGCCCCGTTCCGCTGCAACCCCGTTGCGTGCGTTACAATTGCATTGCATTGCAATCGGATTGCATTGCATTGCAGTGCAATCGCATTGTTTTGCATCGCATTGCATTGCGCCACAAATCTAGATTGCACCACAACGTAGCAGTTGGCACAACATGGATTGCACAACATAGATGTCATCACATATATTGCTTGACTAAGATTGCACCACATCGCCTGCACCACACACACTGCGCAAGATCTATCGTACCACAGATATTGTACCACATGGCATACATCACATATACTGTACTACATCTATCCTTTCTGATAGGAATATACCCCCCCCCCGTTGTATTGCTTTCCCGGGTATCGTATAATGTACATGAGAAAGTGCTTGATCGTTCTTTTTGCATACGAACTCATACCATTCCCCAGGAGATGCCCTCATCGACCCCCTCGTCCCTGTCAAGTAATACTATGCGCGCACACTCGTTGATGAACAAGCATGGATTGTCAATAACCCCCTAGCAAGAATCATGGCTAAGTTCACACGGGCGCATCGTCGCGCGCGCATGTCGAATCAATCAAATCCCCAGGTTCCGTACGGAGCTGAAGATCGAGAGTCCCGAAACAAGAATAAGCAGTGTGTTCCAACATGTGTTTTAACATTGCGCGCGCTCTTGCGAGTCTTTAGGGCAACCGTCGGGTTTCCATCATTTCGCCAAAATGGGACCACGCCGGCCTCTCGCTCGCACATGTCGAAATCATTCGAACGCCCTTGCGCGCATGGCACCACATAGGTTGTACCACATAGTATGCGAGAACACACTGTTTGGAAGTCCGCGCGGGCGAACATGTATCGTCACTTTTGTTTGCGGACCATCGGAATGTTTTGGGTGTTTCAAACAGGCGTTCACGCTGCAGAGTTGGCCTCACGCCAGGAACGGCGCTTTGGCGCGTTGCTCACGTCGTTCAAAACGGTTCTCGCGCCCCAGCGCGGGTATCAATTCTGGGTATGGGTCTTTCTTGTCGTTGTCGCCCCGTTCCTTTCCCTTCTCCCGTCTTCCCCTGGTACCCCTGCCCCCCCCACTCGTTTACTCTTGCTCCCGCTGCTGTGGTTCCTCTTCGTCCTCCTCTTTGCTCGTCCTCATCCTCTTCCTGCTGCTTGTCCACTTGCTCATGCGCCACCCCCTCCTCCTCCTCCTCCAGTGCACGCAGCCCCCATTTCTGACAACGCACGACAAGATGGTGTCCCTGGAGGGGTCCACGTTCGCTACGACGCCCGTCGTCGGACAGCGAAAATCTCGGAGCAGTGGGAAGGGTTGAGCGGGACTGGTAGGACGTCACCAGCGCGCCTAGGTCGCCTCCGCCCCCTCTCCTCACCGCCCCCACACACACACACATCCTTCTTCTCCTCCCCCCTCCTCCCTCATCCTCCTCGTCCCGTCTTCCCTCTTCCCCCTCGCCCTCCTCGTCACCCTCCTCCCTTTTTCTCTTCCTCCCTCATCCTTCTCATCCTCCTCATTTTCATCCCCCCCTCCTCCCTTCTTCCCCTCGCTCTCCTCGTCTTCCACGATGGCACAATATGAATACTGGTCGCCCCTCTACCCCGAAGATGTCCTGAGAGAG